GGTGTGCTATAGTCCAAGGGGTCATGAAAGAGTTGGACATGACTTAGCAACTGAACAATAAAGGGCAAAAACATTGCTATGCCAAGCAAGTGGCTCAAAATACTGCCCCCCCACCCCACCCCTGATCTTGTCACATTTGGAATCGCTTAGATTTTGTCTGGCATTGCTATATATCTCATTGTGTGGTCTTGGACAAAGTCCTTAGCCTCTCTATGCCTCAGTTTTGTCATCTTCACAGTGGCAAAAATAATAATTCCTTGGCAGTGTTAGAAGAATTGATAGAAATAATACTTGTAACACTTTTAGCACAGTGCCTGGAATATGGTGTTAAAAAGTGTTTGTTTGCTAAATCAATACATAAAATCATCCTTGCCCACATTAAATCCATTCCATTTAATGATAAACCTCTTGATGATATGCATGGCAAAAACACGAAAAGCATATTCAGATACCATCTTGGAAGGAGGGAAACTCTGGCACAGTAAGACACTGAAGGAGTGAAAGAAATATAGATGGTTTTCATCAGAAATAAAAGAGAATGTGATGGAACCCTCCCAAATTATCAGCAGAAATGTAAAATGGCACAGCTGCTGTGAAAAACAGTATGGCAGTTCCACAAAACAGTTAAATGTAGAATTACCATGAAAGTGGGAAGGAAAAAAAAGTTAGTTGCTCAGTCGTGTCCAATTCTTTGCCACTCCTTGGACTGTAGCCCATCAGACTCCTCTGTCCACGGGATTCTCCTGGCAACAATACTAGAATGGGTAACCATTCCCTTCTCCAGGGAATCTTCCCAACTCAGGGATGGAACACAGGTGTTCTGCATTGCAGGCAGATTCTTTACTGTCCAGGAAAGCCCCATATGACCCAGTAATTCCACTCCTAGGTGTATGCCCCAAAAAATGGAAAGCAAGTACTCAGATACTTACACACACATGTTTATAACAGCATTGCTCACAATAACCAAAAGATGAAAACAACCCCAATGCCCATCAGTTTATGATAGATAAATAAACATCATATATTTATACAATGGAATATTAGCCATAAAAAGGAATGATCCATGGTACAACCTGGATGGACCTATAAAACATACTAAGTGAAAGAAGCCAGACATACAAGGCCACATATCTTGTGATTCCACTTGTTAGGGAATATTCAGAAAAGGCGAATTCATAGAAATTCTAAAAGCAGATGGGTGGTTGTCAGGTGCTAGCACATCAGGGAGTAATTGCTTAATGGATGCAAGGTTTTCTTTTGAAGTGGTGAAAGTGTTTTGGAACTAGAGAGGTGGTGGTTGCATAATATTGTGAATATATTAAATGCCAATGCATTGTACACTGTTTTTGGTGAATTTTACCTAATCCCCTCTCCCCTCCAAAAAACAAATCCCACATACATACATAAATAGAGATTGCTCTCTTGAAGTTGAGAACACAGAAACATTCCAGGCTTCCTCTTTCACTGACCAGAGATTCCTTCCTTAGGAGAGTCCCTTAATGTCCAGGCCCTCTGGACCCTGGTTTCCACTTTGGTTGGACCACTCGGATCCCTTCCAGTTCAAATTCCAAAGCCAAGAAATTCATCTTCCTCCTTTTACCCTCTCTCATCTACATGCTTAAAAAATACCTGCCTCTGTACTGCAGATATATACTGGAAGACCACGTTGTTGAAATTAAATTACAGGGAAATTGATTTGTTTTAGTTATTAATAGGAAAGGTGTTTTAATATTTATGATGATAATGACACAAATTAATGGACAAATAAGTAAAACAAATGCACTTTAGCCATTATCTTGGTGTTTGCCATTCTGCTGTTCAGACTCCTCCGAGCCCGCGCACGGCTCCAGCCTGTCTGCACCCCTCGTTGTGATCACACACTGTGCTTTTGGCCAGTCACAGTATCTCAGGCTCCTCTGCCAAATGCAGTGCCAGCAGCCCCAAGTTGATTAGGAGGCCTCGGATTGATTGATAAGTGCCCTTGCCAAGTAGGAATGGGGGCAAGGGATTGAATACCTTTCTAAACTGCCTATGCTTTACAACCAAAGTAATCTAGAACAACTTAAAGATTTTAGTCACTAGAACTTGCTCATGGGCTATTTTGGTCACAGCTGGACTAGTTACAAATTTATTCTAAAATTACAGAAATACGATTTGAATAGCGAGCTGAACTTACCTAGTCCTGGGATTTAAAGTCCTGGGTCAACAAGTTGATTCTGGGAGGTACGGATGTATTTTTCTGTATTTCACTGACCACCATGTCCTAATTATTCCTAGAAGTGTCAGGTATGTCTTAAAAGAAACTTCAGATAGCAAATTTTCAGCCAGCTACCAAATCTGTCATTCCCCCCACTACCTTCAAATTCAAATATATCTACTTCTGAGGCTACAACAAACCCCAAAGCTGCAAAAAACCTCCAGCCACTGCTTACCAGGGCCCATGTCCAGGCAGCTTCAGATCACTCTTCTGATCATTTGTTATCCATCATGCCCCTGAAAGAGCTCACTGGAGGGCCCAAGGTATCCTGGTTAGGCAGGGTTTAAGCACAGTGGAGGAAAGGGCCTTCCTCTCTCTTGGTATTGCATCTTCATGTTAGTCCCTGCCGCAAATGAGCAGCCCCAGGTTTCTCTTTAGGTCTCCTGCTCCCAGAACTGAACATCCTCCATGGCTGGATAGGTGAAGCCAGGAGACAAGTATGCTGTAGAATGCTTAACTGCCCCTCCACTGGCCCCTGGGGTTTTGCTCTGGGCCAGGCTGCTCTGCCTGACACTCTCCCAGTGATTTCTCTCTGGGGAGGCATCTCCATCCTTCATGCAAATAGGGCCAGTTTCCAATCAGGCCAGACTTGCCCAAAGCCCACGTGGAGGTTGCCATGGCTCAGGGTGAGACACCGGTTTCCCAGTACCTACTTATTAGGCCCCTACTATGTGCTCGGTGCTGGGGTTCCAAGAATTGTAGGCTCTTGTCATCCAGAGCAGCTGTGGGAATTTAGACAGCAGCTCCTTGAGGCTGGCCAATCAAGCCATTACCTCAGTTGGTGCACCTCCTGCTGGAAGGTCATACCAATGGTGTCAACTTAGTGCTGCCCTGGCAGAGATCCTCCTCCCTGCATAAGTAGGAGTTTCACTGGGTTTCTCACTGACCGCTCCTCTTGAACATTCTTCGGTTCTTACTTGACCCGTATTTCTGTCTGCTGCTTTCCATCAGCAGCAACAGCATCCCTTTCCTATTCTGCTCTTAGTTCCTGGCCCAGACTTCGCTCCATTTCTCCTCTCAGATGAAGAAAAGAGAGAGCTGTGGGCAGGAGAATAGAAGTGTAAAATCTATATGGAATTGTATACAAAATAAACAATACCTATAAAACCTGTACACTCTTTTTCTTTTCACAAATGTTAATTGTACTTTTATGTTTATGAGTGAACTGTTTTTCTTCTGTTCAAATAAACTGAATAAAAGATAAAAATACAGTTAACATTTGCAAAAAGAAAAAAAAGAGAGAAGAAGAATGTACAGGTTTTACAGGTATTGTAGGACTTCCCTGGTGGCTCAGTGATGTAAGGGAGGCTGGGGCGGTGCTTGATTTGTAGATTGGGAAGATCCCCTGGAGAAGGAAATGGCAACCCACTCCAGTATTCTTGCCTGGGAAATCCCATGGACAGAGGAGCCTGGTGGGCTACAGTCCATGGGTTGTAGAGTCAGATGTGACTTAGTGACTAAACAACAACAACAAATTTATTCTAACTTTCAGCTTAATGTGAGAACTGTACGTTATTTTGTTCAACTTAAATGAAGAACTCAAGTGCAAACTGATGTAAAATTTAAAATACAGAAATGGCTTTGCCTGCAATTTATGAGTCTTCTTCTCTTGAGTCTGTTCTTTGGTGTTCAGTAGGAAAGGTAACTTTAAAAATCCATTAAGTAATCAGCTTACCTTTGGATAACTAAAAAGTCTTGAAGGACATAACCTATGTTGGCTGTTACATGAATGAGCATGTGGTGAATTTTGAAGGCAGACTTTCAGGACATCATATTTTAGTAAGAAGCTTGAAAGATAAATTGATCAAAACATGCAGCAAAGCAAAATACATTATTTTCGGTATGAAATATGACCCAGTATTTCTTCATTGTTCACACCCTCCCTTCATTGAGAGCACGGGGCCTTGAACATAGTAGGGGTCTGGGAGATGCTTGTTAATTTTAATTAAAATTGGATTCCTCCCAGTCTCTCAAAGTCTTGAACCTCCCGACCTGGGTCAAACAGCTGAGGAAACGAGAATAAAGTACCAAGAAAAGCTAGAAGGACTTCATTGCTAAAATATTTGTTTCTGGGTTTATTATTTTATTCAAAAGTCTAGGAAGTGACCTGTATAGAATGTGGCAGCAAACTGCTGTTAATCCCATTTACATTTTCAGAGTTGGGATCCAGGTTTTCAAGTTTGTTAAGGGATTTTATGCAAAACTGGGCAAATCGACAGCATTCTAAAAATGCCGTCTGTTCTCCAACTCCTCTCCTGGTCACAAACAAGCGAGGCTGGCGCCCGGCTCGCCCGGCTCCTAGAGCGAGGGGTAAACCCGGCCGGGTGATGGACTGGGGAGAAGGGCTGTCCCGGGGGCGGTCCCGGGGCGGAGCCTGGGCGGGGCCCGTGACGCGCGGAGTCGGGCCGGCTCAGGGGCTGGACCTCAGCCTCTCCCCGCCTGGGGCCGCCGCCGCCGCACCAGTGGTGGCTCCACATTTCCAAAAGGGGCCCTCCGACTCTTCACTGGGCCAGTCTGGCGCTGACTCGCGGAGCTCCGCACAACTCCCGCTGGCCTCTAAACGGGATCCCTCCTGCCCAGAGTTGCGGGCAACTTTCCCCTCTCCCTGGAGCCGCGGTGGCTTGGGGACCGTGGCCGCCGCAGGTAGCTGAACTCCGAGCCACGCTCCCCGCGCCTCGGCTGAGCGCACACGCAGGTCGCTCTCTGCACGCTGGGGGTCCCCAAGCTCGGCTTGGCGGGCGGGATGCCCCTAGGACATATCATGAGGCTGGATCTAGAGAAAATCGCCCTGGAGTACATCGTGCCCTGTCTGCACGAGGTCGGCTTCTGCTACCTGGATAACTTCCTGGGCGAGGTGGTGGGCGACTGCGTCCTGGAGCGCGTGAAGCAGCTGCACTGCAACGGGGCCCTGCGGGACGGCCAGCTGGCCGGGCCCCGAGCCGGCGTCTCCAAGCGGCACCTGCGGGGTGATCAGATCACGTGGATCGGGGGCAACGAGGAAGGCTGTGAGGCCATCAATTACCTCCTGTCCCTCATCGACAGGCTGGTCTTGTACTGCGGGAGCCGGCTGGGCAAATACTACGTCAAAGAAAGGTCCAAGGTAGGACGCGCGCGGGCGCCCGGCCGCTGCTGCAGCCTGCGGAGACCGGGGACGTTCGAAGTCCGTTGTCTGTCCCCTTGGCAGGGCTGCAATCCAACTTTAGTTTTTAAACCAGAAGCAAGAAGTCCGCCTGCCCCCCACCCCCGCCCCTCACATTTCCATAGGTTATTAGAAACGTTATGTATAATCTGAGACACACTCGAACTCATGATCTTAAATGTCTGCTCTCAAGTCACTTAATAGTGCCCTTCAGCCCTTCACTGTGTTCAGAGGGGATTACAACAAAAGCGCTTTTAGAGAATTCTAGAGACAGTGTGATTTCACAGTGTGGCATTTGGTTTGTGGAGTCTGGCAGGTGTGAGGAGAATTTGATCTGTGAAAGAGGAAGGCTCATCCTCACTTTTGAGTCCTGCCCTTGGCTTGTTGCATCCAGGACATTGTTTGATCATCTAATTGATGTGAAAATTCTCTCCTGGTGCTGAGCACCAGCCACCACTTACCTTTCCTGTCAATTTCGGGGGAAATCCACTCAGAACAACCAGTTGAGTGATCAGGAGAGGGGTAGTCAAGTACCTCTGGAAAGAAACCATGTTTTTGTTCACATCCCAGCGGTCTCTCCTTAGGTGGTAATTTTTCTTGGAAACGTTTACAGGTAGATTGGCAGAACTATGGGAACGTGGAGTACCATAATGTTGGTGCATGTACATTACGCTGGGATAGACCTGCTACTCAAGTGTTTTCTACAAATGATAATCCGACCAGTTTTCCAGGGTAGTTCTGAGAGTGATTTATACTCCTTTTATTGTGGACCCTGTCAAGGGGCACTTAGAGCTGTAGAGAAGTTTTACTGTAACACAGTGAGGCAAAACATAGTGTGGGAGGGAAGGTGAACATTCACCTATGTACCACTCTGTGACACTGCATGTAGTATTCTTCAATTTAAGATTGCTCCTGTGATATTAATAAAACACACCGTTGTTGTCTCATTTGTCCCATAAGCTGAGAGGAACACTTTTTATAAAGGAAAAATGGCGAAGACTGAAAGTGCATAGAAAGGCAGGGGTTGGCTTGATCAAGTAGAACAGGGGAGAAAGAGATTGCAGTTACCTTTCCAGCCAGGAGGACATGGCTGGAAACACTATTTTTCATAGAATGCAAATAAAGTAAATCTTAGAAGGAAACGCTGCTTCCTAACCTTTGATTGAGGGAAAGCTCGGCTAGCTGGTCTCTGTAGAACATTTAGGGTAAAGTGTCTCTCTACGCCTGTCCCATCATTTTGTTGATGAACTGGGGAACCCTTTGTCTTGATTAGCTGTGTTTCTGCACTTGTGTTGTAAATGACTGTGCCTTTCGGATGGGGGAGGACTCTGGCTAGCCTCAGTGCTGTGGAGGTGCTTGTGGTTTCACTCTGAAAACAGCAGATGGCTTCTCTTCAGTTTCTCAAAGTTTCTTTCAAATTTTGTTGTTAGGAAATTCACTCCCAGCATTATAGGAATGGCATTTGCTCAGCAAGAGATCAGAATTAATTGATAGAAAGAGGTCACTAACATATTTAAAAGTTAAATTTTTTGTTTTTGTTTTTATTGTAGATTTGACTTAACAGACAGTTGTAGGGTTTTAGGCTAGAATTTAACTCCACAAATTGAATGAAAAGCATTGTGTACCTCTGAGTAAGGGGGGAAAAAAAGATCTCTAGATATGATTCTTCAATTATGGATTATCATATGGGTATAACAAAACTTCAGTTAACCCTTTCAGAAGGTGACTGAATTGAAAAGAGAAAATTCATCTTTTGGCCAATGAAGAGACCTCTATCCATACCTTGATTTTCAGCTTTCCTTTAGCTGTTTGGCACAAAGCTCTTTTTCTGGTCTTTAGAATAATCACCTGTAAACTTGGATATTCCCTGGTCAGCTAGAACCAAATGTAGACCAAACTTGAGGAAACCATTATTATATTAAAAAAAAAAAAGAGTTTGGTTGGTTTGTTTGTATAAAGAAATCTCCTTGGTAATGTCTTGTGGCCCCTCAGTCTCTTACTTGAAGTTCATTATTGAAGCATTGTAGAAACACATTTCAATTTTACATGATTTATAATAGTTCTACCTTAATTTAACCTTATTTACTTCTCTTCCCTCAACTGAATGCCTTACTCTACTGCTTCCCAGGGTAGTGATACAGACCCCGTTTCCTGCTCCATCCTCAAAGCAGGTTTTTAGTAAAAACTAAATTTCTAAAAGGAAGAATTTGTACATTTATTTTAAACACTTTTTTGTGATTTTTTATTACGGAAATTTTCAAACATATATGTGTAGAGAGGCTAGTGTAATGAGCTCCCACCACCCATTTTCAACAACTGCCAATAGATACATTTATGTATTTTAGACCAGTTGTTTTTTAGGTACTTGAAATTTGTTTGTGTTATGCTTATCAATCCTGATTAAGCACTTTTCCCCCTGAACTTTTAAAGGTCATTGAACAGTGTAATAATGCTTTTTATCTCAATGAAAGAATTACTAGAGGCAATGGGAATAGAATAGGAATATATACTAATCCTAAAATTGAAATTGTGGAAACGTATGGAAAGAAACATTAAAGGGTTCCTTCCCCTCCCTGCCACAAAAGTTGTTACTGATCAAAATTTATCTACCTCCGCTTTGTTAGAAAAAAATCCAGGGGTGCTGAAGACTCTCCAAGGAAGACTGATACACAGCAGTATGGTGCCCCCTAACTTCAAGTACTATCATTGCTTTCAGGCTATGAAAAGGTTTCTTATCTGTTACTCCCTTTTGGATAATTTTGACCATATCCAAGATAAACATTGGTTTTAATTTGCTTCTCTTGCTTTGGCTGCCTAGATGTTGGATGTGGCTATTTTCCAGAGGACCTGTAGTTTATAGAACCCAGAATCCTTCTGTTTGAAGTATCTCACTGTAGACTCACTAGTTAATAACTCTAATAATAATATCTACCTTTTAATGAGCAGTTGGTTCCATCTGGCACTGTGCTAAGCACTTTTCAGACACTATCTGTCTGACTTAGTCTTCAGAACCATAATCTTTGGCAAATTGAGTGATTAAATCGTCTGCCCAAGGTGATGAAGTCAGCAGTGAATGCAGTTTGTCACAGGGGTTAGGGATTTGGACTTAACCTTGACTAAGCTTGTAGCCGTAGGTAAGTTTCAGTTTTCACCAAGTGTAAAGTGAAAGATACTACCTTACAGCTTGGGGGGTGGGGGGATTGGTGAAGAAGCATGAAATAAGATAATGAACATAAAATTCTTAGCAGAATTCTGAGCCTTCATAAATGTTAAAAGGGGAGATTTGGGATTCTGACCCAGTTCTAGTTGAGCCTAGAGTTTGCTTTTGACTCTTAGGCTCTTACGTTCCCTCCTTTCATTCCCTCAGCGTGGGGAATTTTGCTGGAGTAGGGAGACAAAGGTGGACAGGCATCATGCCTGCCCCACTAGAGCTTACATTCACATGTACTTTTGAGTTGTAGGACCCTCGGCTTACACTTGATCAATTTTCCAGCTTAAAAAAGAAAAAACCCAAACATTGAAGTGGGTCTGTTAAGTACATTTGAAGAAGAGAATGGAATGCCGTGCTAATGTTTTCCTACTGTTATTTGCAGGAAATGCATTCATTAACAAAGTTGTTAGGGTCCCCGACTGGACTAGTTCTGGATGATGGGGTTATGGGATTTGTATTATGAATCAACAGGTCCGTCCTCCCCTGGAAGCTGTACAAAGAAATGACGAAACAACCATTAAGTTGTGGATAACAAAAAATATATCGCAAATGGTGGGTTTGTTACTTTGCTGCTAGAGCAATGACAGTTTTGGCCCTTCCTTCTGTGATGGCAGGAACATTCATGACTTGATAGAGCTTATTATGGTTGCAAACTGCCTTAAGCAAACCTGGGATAATGAATTTCAAAGAATAGAACCTCTCTCAGGACCCAAGTGCAGGAAATACAGTTGGGGTTCACAGAAGCCTGGAGCCATGAACTGAGAACAAGAAAGGCCTTAACATCCAGAAGAGCAGTTGTGTTAGTTCTTGTCTCTGGCACTCTATGGCCTTCGTATTTGCTTCTCTGCTTGCACGCTATTTATTGCAGTCTCTACCTTCCATGCAGCTCTTACTGATTCCTATGCAGTTGGCTCAAGATGGCTGCCTCACAATGCTCATTTCAGCCTCAGTTTGACTTCAACAGAGACTTGACTAACATTCTAGGAATGCTTTTTCATTTCCTGAGAGAAAGTATTATGGTCTCACTGTGGCTCAGAGGATCCATCAGCCTTGGTGGCGATGGTTGAGGGGGGCATGCGGAATCATACATAACAAATACAGGTTACCAGGGCCTGTAAGAGGTGCAGTTCTTAGAGTAAAGGGTTTGGGGACTAGACATCATACATGGTGTCTCTGCAACTAAAATCTTACAAATTTGTCTATCAATGAGGTATTTCAGGGGAATGAGGCACTAAATTTTAAAGCATGGGAACACCTTTCTATAAGGATGTAAGGATTCTTATAAAAGGTTTTGTATTTGAAAGTCACTTAGCTCTTGGAGGAAGAAAATAATTTACAGAATACAACCTTAGTGAAGCAAGTTTCTCCACAGGGTGAGTTTTCATAGAATTCTTTGTGTATTTTGTTGAATGACACTTGGGAACACAGAAAAGAAGGTGTGCATGTATGTTTCCTTTATCATTTCTATTGTTCAGTTTTGGGCCAGTGGCCGCCGCAGCCTTGTCTGCTTGCAGTGAAGCGGGAAATCAGGAGGTATCAATTTAATTTATTCATTCACCAATCATTAAATGTCTTACACTGCAGTCCATCTGTATGTGGATGGGAGAAAGGAGATGGAAAGGGATGATAAAAGCACCTAAAGAAGTAAGCTGAAAGTTGAGTGGCGTAATAGTTGTTACCAACTTTGCTGTCTCTTTTTCTGGTTTAACAGGCCACTTTTACACTGATGGGTCATTTTTGTTTCTCTTCT